TTATCCAAAACTAATTAACGATGTTAATTTGATTCGATATTAATTTTCTTAAGAAAGAAGAATTTCATTTTGTTATAAATCAGCAGAAATTGAAAATGTCTAATATGCTACCGATTTCACCAAATTTTCCCGGTACATTCCCTAATTTCTCAGCTTTTAATCTACTTGACCACACCAACTGATCATATTCTTCTTCTCTACCTCTTTCCATTTCTCGTTTGGAAATATTTTTTTTTTTGCTAACGAAACTAAGAGCCAATATTTTTAAAGATTATTTTGATTTTTGAAATTTTAATAAAAGACAAACCCGAGCTGTATACATCCCGAACATATCACCTGTTTGCTGCTTCCACCAAAAATGTGCAACTGTGAACGGCGTTTTCGAAAAATTACCGCTGCGCCAACTTCTCGTATCGATTTCATTTCTGTCCATATTTTATCCAATTTCTCCTAATAAAGCAAAAATGATTGATTTAGAAAAAATTAATGAAAGAGGAAAAAAAAAATCTTTTAATACAATATGCTAACATGTCGTAGATTAAGTTAGATTAAATTGAATTCCAATTTAAATTATATATTTTCATTTCATTTTTTCATTTTTTTTTTTTGTTTTAAAAGATTTTTCAAATCTTTTTCAATTTTTGCTTACTTTAAAGTTTGCTGATTTTGTGATAGCATATGTGTGTTCGTGTTCAACCTTCAAATAAATTGCTGGAATAGCAAATAGTAATACAATAACCGTCATGGAACTAAATATTGTCGTACCTATCGCTAAATAGCGAAAATATTCGTCAGCAGCCATTTTTCTGAAATTTTGTTTTTACAAAAATTTTTTCTTAAATTTTTTTTTTAAATTATCATGTTTTCTTATTACTAGTTTTGCTATCTTTTCAAATTTTAGACATTAACTTCTATTAAAACTACAAACTATTTAATGATCTTAATATTTAACAATAATTTGTTAAAATTAAAATTAAACCAATTTTGTATGAAATTTTACAGGAGTGAATTTTTGATATAGGAAGCTAATTTTTAGAAGAGAGAGAGAGAGAGAGAGAGAGAGAGAAGAGAAAGGGAGTTGATCGGTTAACAATGATCATGTTTGTATCAATTAAACCAATTATTTTTAACCATCTTCAATATATTAGGGCACTGTGTCGAAGCAGCAGTTTGTACATTTGCGCAATTACGGAATAAATGTTCCGCCTTTTCATTTATCCTTATACTCTTCTAATTTCTAAAAAAAAAAGAAAAAAAAATAATGAATGACATTTTAATTTAGGTCAACTGATAATACTTTTCCGGAATTAATTTCAATTCATTTTACTAACAAATTTTGAGTGGAAAAATTTTAAATGGATTGTTTGTAGGGAATTTTTTTCATTTATTTCGAGTTCTTTTTAAAAAAAAAAATCGTTTTTTTCCCGTGAAACAATTGTTGTAAAATCATTGTAAATTCTTATAGTGTTTCTGTAAAAAAAAAAACAAACAAAATAACTGCCCAATTAGGCTTTCTATCCTCTTTTTTAAAAACCAATGAATCATTGATCATTCATGCTTTAATTTTATATTTGCGTAAATTTGTTTTCAGGATGAAGTAAATCAAGTGCTTACCACAAATTTATGGCTTGAAATGGTAATTTTTGTTTTTTAAATTGATATTTAAGTTATATAATTTTATCAAAATTAAATCCAAAGATAATTTTCCTATAGTCAGAAAAATTGGAAAAATTATCTTCTGTAATTAAAAAAATTTCAAATTTCCAAATCATTTGATCCCAAAAATCTAAAATAAAATTTAATTCTGATCTGATTTAATTGTAGCAGTGGAATGATTACAAGCTAACATGGGATCCGGAAAAATGGAATAATATTCGAAAACTTCATGTTCCATCTGATCAGATATGGATTCCAGATATTATACTATATAATAAGTAAAATATTTGAAATTATTCATTGATGATAACATATTGGTAAATAATGACAGATATTGTTGGTTCGTTTTTAAGCGGAGAAATTCTGCCTGAAAATTCTTCATTGTTAAAAAATTAAAATTTTTCTTTCATTTCAGCGCGGATGGCGAACCGCACATAACGATTATGAGTGATGCCTTAGTATACTATACCGGCGCTGTGGTTTGGAAACCGCCGAGTATTTATAAATCATTTTGTCCTGTAAGCATTCATTTATGCTTACATTTTTGTCCGTGATAATTTTGCAAAAAAAAAAAAAATTGTTGCTATTTGTAAAATATCAAATTTAAACATTTTAAATTCAAGAAGCAATTGCTACTAAACAAACTGAGAGCAGGATTATTGAGGAGATTTCGAATTACAGAAAAAAATGTAGGGCATAAAAAAAAAATTTTTAATTTGTATTTCTCAAAATTTTTTCAAAATTTAAATTTGCATTTTTTCAAAATTGCTAATTTACTGGTTTGTTAAACCTGCAAATATCACATCCCTTTGATATTCCGATTTCATTTTAGTGCAATTGGTTTTTGATTCATTTCCATTAAAAGTTTTGCATATATTATGATTTTGCAGAAAAGACTTGTAGAATATTAACTTAAATATTTTAAATTTTATTGCTTATAAATAAATTGACAGCTATAGACTGTTGGGGAGATTTCGAAGTGCAAACTTGCAAAATTTAAATTCGTATTTTTTCAAAATTACAGTTTCTAATTTCCTGAATACTTGATTGCCAAAAAGAAATTTATTATTGTTTCAAGATAGATATTGAATACTTTCCATATGATAAGCAATCATGTTCAATGAAATTTGGTGGTTGGTCATACAATGGTTTCCAAATTGATGTTCGGCAAATACCGGTAAATTTTAAATTTCAATAAATACGGACAATTATGAAATATCACAAGTTCAGGAACTCTCAGATAGCATCAAATGATTAACTTTTAATGCTACAAGTAAAAATTCTCATAAACAATTGAAATCTTAAACATACCATCTTCTTTTGTAATGAATCAAATTTTTGAAATATAACTTTTTTTTTTCTTCAAGACTAATCCTACGGATAATATTGAAACACAGTATGATGAAAATGGAAAAGAATATCAATTTCTGGAACAAGGAATGGATTTATCATCTTATTATCCGTAAGTTTTTTAGCCGCTTTCATGCTTTATTTGATTAATATTTACAATTTGTTATTAAAATTTTTGCCTAATATTTAGATAGAAAAAAATGTTTCTTTTTTTTTTTTAAAAAAAAATGTAATCATATTTTAGAAGTCGTGAATGGGATTTGATAAGTTTAACAAGTCGTCGATATGAACGTTTATATCCTGGTTGTTGTGGACAGGAATTCTACATCGATATTACCTTCAGTTTATCGATTCGTCGTAAAACACTTTTTTACACTGTTAACCTAGTAATTCCATGCATGCTAATAGGTAAATTTTATTTTAATTCAATTCTATTAAAATCTATAAATAGTGAATATTTTGGTGATTATAATAGAGAAAGTACGGAATTTGTTTAACTTTTTTTTTTTTAATAAGGGAAACGAATAATCATTAAATTTATGATGCAATGAAATATTATAATAAATATGCTACATTACTTTTATTACTAAGTTTTTTTTTTTTTAAATTTTATATTTTAATTTTTTTTTTCCAAATAATTTCATTTTAGCAATTCTGACAACTTTTGTTTTCTATATTCCGGGTATTGAACATAAAGTATCATTTTCGATAGCAGTATTGGTTACATTAACTGTATTCTATTTGGTTCTTATTGATCTCATTCCACCAACATCAATGGTTATACCATTAATTGGAAAGTATTTGTTATTTACAATGTTTCTTGTTTCCGCATCAATTTTTCTATCCGTACTTACTGTTGGTTACTATCGCCGGTATGTTGATTTATTTATTCATTTATTTATTTTTTTTTATTTTTAAAAAATTTGATCATAT